AACACTGCCTTAAAAGACAATTCAGAAGCGGCCACATTCTAAATCCCATCTAACCTAACCCTAACCTGAATTATTCCTGTAAACTAAGAACAGGTAACTTGGATTGGTAGTGGAAAGTTATATCTCATTTTAAAATAAAAGGGTCAGGCAAGGAAAAGAGCTAACATTTTTTTTCTGATCTTTTTTTCTTTTTCTTTTGGCAAGAGTGGGGACCAGGATCCCTCTGGCCAGTAGACTGTTACCAAATATTGACTATGACAATACTGTCTCTCTTTTCAAGGTACTGCTGCGTATAATTTAGAAACAAACAAACAATATATTAAACAATGCAAAAAGGAGGAATCCTAGATGAGATAGCCTTGAAGGATTATTCTCCATTCAGCGTTTAAAGCTTGAACATTATTTACAAAAACTTTTCCATTTGCCCAACTTCACAGTTCATAAATGTTTGGGGGGGTGGGGTGGGGAAGGAGACACCGAACTCAAGTAGCACCATAAAAACTGTGAGGTTTTAACTTAGCTTTGCTAAAATACAATTATAAATAGAATAATAAATAGACAAGGAATATATCTTGCAGCTCTTGTAAAATAATTCAAAATTGCATATAAAACAACTGTAAGCAATGCACTACTTGAGTGAAGGGAAATGCAGTGGGGATGGCATGAACTGGGAGAGGGCACTGCTAAAATGAAGCCTCAGAATACATTTCAGACAGAGAATAATGTTGGTTTTGTAGTTCTGAGAACAGGCTGTGTAATTATCATGGAAATCACTGGCAGTTCAGCAGCTGAACTGCGCACAGGACTACAATCAAAGAAAGAAGCTCATGGCATAAGGTATAGAGAAGTTTGTTAACAACTGCCAAATTCTAATCGTCTAATATCCCAAGGTGAGTTTGACTGTGATAAATTCAGTGTTGGATCCAAAAGGATTTTTTGACAGCTGTAACAGCAGAGCCCAGCTAAAACCACCCAGAACCTTGTGATCTCTAGTATCTTTCTGAGATTTTTTTCAGAGATCAGAAAGGATCTGCAAGGGGTGAAAAGAAATTAGCCTTCGCTCTCATTTTGATAGCACAATTCCTCCATCAGATTAAAAGCTGCCTGAGACTGGAAGGAACCTGTCTGTTTTCAGGGGCTACATTCTGAATCCAACACAAAGGGTTTTCATCTGAGCTGCAGTGGACTTTTGTGGAGAGATTTTGAAATGAGACCAAGGGAGATGGGGGAGAGGTCCCTTTCGTTGTGCTACTTCGGAGTTTAACTGTTTACCTTGTAGTCTTTGTGGCTCTTCTAAAATGATGCATGTATCAGCATGCTGAAATGAAATACTACTAGTTAAATATCTGCTTAACGTATATACAGGTAGAGCTGAAAAGTTTTGTGGAAGAGGGCCCAATGAGATACTTACATTTCTGAGCATCATCCTATCACTTCAAAGAAAACAATTAACCAGCCAAATATTTTACCGAGATGTTGAACTTATTTTGTGCTGCTTGAGCTAGCAGGGCCTGGCAAGAAATTTTTCCTGGAAAATAAGCAGTTAAAATGGGAGGCCTAAGAACTTGCAGAGGCTTCCATCCTCAGAAATGGCTGCTTTATGAAATTTAGTTGGTCACATCAAGATTTTTTTTAAACTTACCTGAAGCAGATTTTATGCCCTTTAGATATATTTCAAGGTAGAAAGGTTAAATCCCTTTTAGTCAATTTCTCACTGTGAATTTTCTATGCCACTATCCTTTGGATTAATCATAGGCGTTAAAAATAGTTCTGTTGGTAGCAGATAACCACTGGATTTTTACTGCAAACGCAGTGCTATTTATGTTGTAGTTTCTTCAAGAGCTTGTAAAATAATCTGCTCTTTTGCTGATAACAGAGGCTTTAGATGTAGGAAGGAATGAAGACTTGCTGAAGAAAAGCACTTTGAGCAAAGAAATATGTACATACACATACATGCTTGTTCTGAGCTCTTTTGTTTAGCAAGTCTTTCAGGCAAAGTGGGAGATCCGGAGAAAAGGGAACTTTGTCTAGTTTATGCTCTGAGCTGCTGCATGGTCCTTGTTTAGAATGATGTTGATGATTTCCCCTTCATGTTCCTTCATATGGTCCAACAAATTCTCTTTGCTGGTGGACTCAAATCCACAGATACAGCAGCAGAAGAGCAGAACACAGTATTCTGAGCCAAGGTGGGACAGGCCTGCAGCTTTCTCTGAACCGCATGAGGTATTGGTTGTAGAGGCTTGATCCTGATGGCCATCAGAACCCATTATTTTGTTAGCCGCCGGTTTAGGAGAGTTTGAAAAAGACAAGCCCTCTGAGTTACTGGTTAAAGGAACTACTTCATCTTCCAACGTTTCAGTTACTTTCTTCCCAGTAAGCTGACCCAGAAGCCTACAGAACAAAGGGAAAAAGTTGTTTTATATTCATGAATGCTCAATAGTTGAGGAGACAGTTCAACAGCAGACAATATTTAAAAATGATCTCTAAATTATATTCTGCATGTCCTCAACAGCGCTGCAGCGTATCTCCAAGCTGTTATTAAAAATCTTCTTGTTTTTAAAGAGAAGTTTAGACGTTTGACATAAGAAGGGGCCAGCTAGCAAAAGCATCCATTTTAGAGACATCAGCCCTACTTTTTGATGGCATTTCTTCTATAAACCCAGAGGATTAAAAGTGTGATCTTTTTGTCTGTGACTTTGGATTGTGCCTGATATCACAAACCTAAACAGGGACTGCCGAATGCACCCACCTGCCACTTTGCGAAATTGCATCATTAATCGCTTTATTCACTTGTTCATAATTATAGTTTTCGTCACTTGCGTGTTTCCACATATGAGACTTTAGTGAAGGAGGGTGGCTGCATACATATCCACAGAGGGAACATCTGAAATAACAACAGGATGTAAAAGTTATTGCAAGTAAAAAACATTCTACACCAAAACATTACATGAGACAAGGGCTCCAATTTCTAGTTAAACTTGGTTTCTCTGGAATTGCATTTTAAGTAATATTTTAAAGAACCTCTGCAGGACATCTTCCCAAACTGTAATTCTGCCTCAGGACAACAATACAGTCCTATGCTAAGAGAAATTCCATTACAGATTAGCTAGTTAAATGAACTTGGAAGGATACAGAAAGTGCAGGGAGAGATCTCATATTCTCAGGAACTGACGTATTTTCAAAAGCAACAGATCACATCCACTACCAAAGGCTGAATCCAATTAAGCTGGGAGAAAAGTCCATTGCTTTAAGAATTTTTTTGGATTTTTTTGTGCCTTCAAGTCAGCTTTGTTCCTGGACAGTTTTCTTGGCAAGATTGTTTGGAAGTGCTTTGCCGCTGCCGCCTTCTTCCTAGGGCTGAGAGAGAAGGACTGGCCCAAAGTCACCCATCTGGCTTCATGCCTAAGATGGGGCTAAAACTCCCACTTTCTAGTCTGGTGCTGTTCACATGACACCAGATTGGCTCTCTCTAAGTGATTACTACATACTAAATAATTTATTCATTGGAAAAAAAAGTGATTCCTAATCCTTAAAAAAATTATTCAGTGAAACAAAGCAACAGCTCAGTGCATGGAGCTTCAGCTAAAAGGGATCAGAACGCAGGGGCTGAGACAGTCTCTGTAGCAGAGACCATGAAAGGCTGTGGTTGGAAGAAGGATGAACTCTCTTCCGGATATTGCTAAATTGCAGCTCTCAGCAGCTCCAGTCAAGCCATCAAAATACAATACTCATGAGTTTCCAACTTTTCATCTTTAAGGCCTGCTTGATCTGGATGGATCTGAACAATAACCAGAATGTGTTCTGGGACTAGCAGATGGCGTACAGGGCATTTTCTTCATCAGTCAGCAGCTACAGGTTTCTTCAAATAATTTAAGAGGGTCATGTTCAGCTCTAGAATTTTTCTTATTAGAGCTTATCCATAGCCTGGAGTCTGCTGAATATTAGGTTGCTGAGGACAACATAGAATAAAGACTAAAAAGGCAGACAGCCCACGCAATAAGAGCGGCTCTAGAGAAACCTTGAGAACTGTAACCCTGTTATTTAGCCGCATAACAAGATTGCTGCTGGTGCTACTGTCTTGGTGAGCTATCTGTTACCTACTTGAACTGCTCCATTAACTGCACTGCCTGATGCTCCTGTGGATGGCGTCTCATATGACACTTCAAGCTATTCATATTAGTTGTGGCGAAGTCACACACACGACATCTGAACAAAAACAAAGAAGGTTTTGACTCCAGCAGTCTTGCAATGTATTCCCTTGGCATTTTAATGTCCAATAGTTTTAAAAAAAGTGTTTTGGAAGGTTAGCAATACTTCTAGGTTTGGCCACTTATAATTATAGTTCAATAGTCAAACATGGATTCCTCTACCTCCAAACTCATGTCCTCCAGTTGCATTGGGGTCTGCTGGGATAAAAAGGATAATTCTGGTTGGGGAATTCTGGAAGTGACCACCTGCAAAAGGCTGGTCAAGTTGATTAACAGATGGCTGCCATTAAGATCATGAAATCACTAGTTAAAACCTTCCCAGATGTGGCAACCTGTTTAAGCAAGGGACCAGAGAGATGATGCACAGATTGCCGCAGATCTCTGAAAGCCTCAAGGGAGGACCGCACAGCCCTTGCAAAAATTGTTGCCAAATTGTTTAATATGACCCAACGGGAAAATGTTAAACACATGGGCCATAGCCCTGTAACTGAATTTTAACAAGTATATTTTTTAAAAAGTCAGATTTAGATTTAAACCAGCCCCCTGTATTACTTTGGAATGCAATCTCCAAAATGTTCCTCGGAGGTGACTTTGGCCTGACAAATGTCACCTCGCTACCCTCAGGTCCGATCCATCTCTCTGAATATTTTAAATGTAAAATGTTCACATGCATTTTGCAAATAGCAGGAGTCTCTAAAAAGCTGGGCTTAACCCACTTGCTCTAATAATTTAGCATAATTTAGGTTCTCATTCTGCTGATGAAAACAAATAATATCTATGGCAAGTAGATGCTTAGAAAACAGCATGCAGAAGGCTGGGGGAATTCTAAACAGGTTGCAGGAACAAATCACTGATAATTTATGCCCTTCTTCAAAATCAGGATATTTCAAATTGCCCACTGGCTGCTGCAAGAGAACCATTAAAAACAAAAACAAAAACACCAAAACAAAATCAATATAAATTCCATTGATATAAAATACAGATATAGTCACCTGTACGGCTTATCTGAGTTGTGAATCCGTCTATGATTCCTCACGCCAACATATGTTGTGCTTGTGTAATCGCAAATGTCGCATCGGTAAAGTTTCTGGACTGAAATCTTATCCCCTATAATAAGAGCACAGGAAGACATTTGCCTTGCTTCAACATTAGTTTCTACAGGGCCTAATTAGATGTCTATGAGAACCCTCTGAGCTGAAAGTAAACACATGGAAGGACACAACCTATCATAATGCCTCTGATTGTGGAAGTCATGCTGAACCATGACGATGACCAGCCACTGATAATCTTATCCTCCCCACGTTTGCCTCTTCTCCCTTTCCAACCACCCAGACTGGCAGCCTTCACGCTGCAGTTTTTAAGGAACGGTGCTTTTCAATCATCTTGAAGCACCTGCCATTCATTCTCCAATTGTTAAAAAGAGAGATGACTCGGCTGCCTTTCCCCAGATGTTTCTAGATCACAATATCATTTCTGTATCACCGTGATCAAAACTGGACACAGCTTGCGTTACCATTTGTGTAATAATCAGAGGATAGATCAATGAAATATATATAAATATTCATTCATGTATGCGAGTTAGGTTGCAACCTCCCAACATTGACGGGAACAGCTGTGAAGAATCTGGTCAATAGCAGAATTTGAAGTATGAGATCTGATTTTTTTTTAAAAAAAAATTTTTCCCTAAAAAACAAACCAAGGAAGGCCAGCCTGATTTCACTTTCAGGGACAGTGCAGTGAATTATTATGAGGAGCATCCAACGATCAGCCTGCAATTTAAGAGATACTAACAAGAATTTTGCTACTTAAAGAATACTATCTCAATATCCTATGTGATATCACTCCTTAATCAAATTGTCCTTGGCAGCCTACTAAGCCAACAAGACTTTCCATAACTAAATCTTAAAAGAAAGGGAAGAAGCCTTATGCATTGGCAAATAATGTATCATTGACTGGTGTCTCTCGTCACTCACTCCACCCAGTGTTGCACACGATTAAACCCCCAGATTAAATTTGTTAATTTGATAAAGCACTACACTCACACTCTCTCTTTCACTAAATGGTTTAGTCGGACTGGTGGGTTTGGGAACTGCTGTTAATGCACACATGATTTGGAGGAGGGAGAAGGCAGCAGTAGAATAGTGAAGAAAGGCATATCATGATTGATTTCAGTCTAGCTGCAGGTCCTTTTCTATAGCAATCCAACATTTTTAGGCTGTTGCATCCAATCATGAGTGCTGAGATCCCTTTAATGTTACGAGCCCAGCCATGACGAACAGGAACATTGATGATTTTATAAGCAGGAAATGCATGTTCCTGCTCAAGCAATTGACACGCAAGCAGATGCTGTGCCATAAACTTTGGAGATTTTATAGAGGAGGCATCTGTGTGACAAGAGGGTTTCCTTCCTGCAATTGTATCTTAATTTGATTGCAAAGGGCTTCCAAAATGCTTCAGAAAGCTAACATTCTCATTTAATGAATGCCATTCAAAAGGAAACGGTGTCAGGTTAAGACAGGCTTCTAACATTAGGTTTTAAAATAAAAAGGCAGTTTAAGATACGAGACAGGGCAGGAGAGGAGATTTCTTGACCCTTTTCTTATTTGAGCAATGAGCCATCAAGAAAACTTGCAGATAAATACCGATCTCTGCATCCAGCTGAAGGAATAGCAAAAAGAATCTTCCACCCGGTGTTGCACTATCAAATAATTCATCATTATTAAGTGACAAAAAGCCTTAAATGGGGATGGCTGAGAAACATCCCCCTCTGTCAGTTCTCCAGTGGGCAGAGAAACTTTTTTCCCAAGTGTACCATAACCATCTGTGGCACAGATTCTATTTGCAAACGGGGAAATAAAGAAAGGATGACTTTACAGCGGCCTTCTTCTAACCCAGCACCCTCTAGGTCAGGGTTTCTCAATCTCAGTGACTTTAAGAACTGGGGAATTCTGGGAGTCCTGGGAATAGAAGTCCACAGCTCTTGAAGTTGCTGAGGTTGAGAAACCCTGTGCTAGAACTATTAGATTGTAACCCCCAGCACTGCCAGCCAGCAGAGCCAAGGGGATCCCCTTGTAGTCCAGCATCTGGGGAGGGTGCCAGGGGAGACAAGGTGCATCCTGGCAATTCTCATGAGCACCCAGGTGAGAGCCATGGTGTGCAAGAGCAGCCCAATCCAATCCACAAAACTAGTCAACAAGATAGACAGTACCAACTCTTTCATCTGCTTCACTGCAAGCCATTAAGCCATCAAACGTTGGGGCTGCATACGTATCTGGGAGACAGTGCTGCTCTCTTTCATGACCGCGCAGCTGACTCTGGAACACAAAACAGTCGCACGAATGTTAACGTCATGTTAAAACAATGTTGTTAGTCCCTAACACCAAACTCGATTGGCTTTATTCCTTTCTGCCACTCTTTTATGCCATAAGCACCTACAAAAAATGACAGTGAATGAACTGACAGCATTCATGTGTTACATGAAGCCAGTTTAACAGCAGTTTGGTAACTAAACCAAAATTGGTTGGATTCTTCCATCTTGCTAGATTATAAATCATGGTTTCAAAGTCGAAAAGCAGTGCCACTGTGTACACTAGGTCAATCCCTAATCATGATCAAGGGAATGTGGGGGGGATTACTGCATGTAATGAGATGGATTGGAGGAAATCCTATGAGATAACTGGAGATAACCATCAATCAAAACCTGTTTTTTCAACCTTGGCAACTTTAAAATGTGTGGGCATCAACTCCCAGAACTCCCCAGCCAGGCTGAGTTCCCCAGCCAACTCCCAGAATTCTGGGAGTTGAAGTCCACACATCTTAAAGTTACCAAATTTGAAAAACACTGTTCTAAGCTAACTACATTTGCTTGGCTCAGTGCATTTGGGAACTCGAGCAATTGTGGAGTACTCAATAAAACATACTTGAACAATGTATAAAGGCGTAATTCCAACTCAGAAGTTCTGATTTCTGATATTAAAGTTCCTTGATCAACCTTAGGTTTAACTGGAGTATTTTAATCAAATATGCAGTTATGAGAGCCAAATCCATTACTGAGAGACAAATACATGACCAACTATCCTTTGTTGGTATTTTGAATAGGGCATACATACATCTCAGGAAAAAAATGCTCATGATTCTTCACTTTTGTGTAGTTGGGGGCGAAGGCAAGGAAGAGAGGCACCTCCATCATGGCCCCCATACTGTAATACAGCTTTCTTCCGGACAGCTTTTTAAATTTGATTATGAGACGATGCCATCTTGTGTATTTTCTTTTTCCTGAGTGCTCTGTTTACTGTTTGTATTTATTTTGATTATTATTCTAGCATTATCCTTTAGATGGATGCTTTATATTTAATTTCGTGGGCCACCAAGCATCTTATGTGGGCCATACAGAAATCTAATAAAGACATCAATTCCTTGACAACTCGAATAAAGTCTGTTTGCAATACTTGCCCCCCCCCCATCCATTACTCTGCCAAGCTACACTAGGAAGAAGCATATGGATGCTTTATATTTAATTTCGTGGGCCACCAAGCATCTTATGTGGGCCATACAGAAATCTAATAAAGACATCAATTCCTTGACAACTCGAATAAAGTCTGTTTGCAAGACTTGCCCCCCCCCCATCCATTACTCTGCCAAGCTACACTAGGAAGAAGCATCACATGATGTTTTGCACCACAAATCCCAGATGTCCCCACAAGCACGACAACAATCAGAAACCACAGGGGTTGTACAAAACAAGCAGAAGACACCCACCCCTCCAATTCACTTAATTCCAAGCAATCGAGCTCGCTTTTGGGGCCCGGCATTTGATTAACCCAAAGTGTAGTTGTTCACCTTGTAATGAAAGGATTCCTCACATTGTTTACACTGGTACATTCGGGTTTTGCAGTGGTTGATCATATGACTTTCTAAATCCTTACTGTGGTCAGCTACATGCTCGCAAATCGGACACTGATAAGGCTGCCTCTGACGATGTACCCGCAAATGCTGTTTGATGTACCCCTTGTTGCCGCTGCTGTAGTGGCATAAGCGACACCGGAAGGGCCGATCCGCGTTGGGGATGTATTCCACCAGATTGCTCCCCAACATGCTGGCATCCCCGGAAGGTTGGCACTGTACGTTATCTTGCAGCTCCTTCAAAATGTCGTCATCGGAGGCATTTTGGTCTGTCCTCTCTTTCAATTTCTCAATTACGGTGAGCAGTGACATGCTGATGCCCATTTTAATGGGGCCTTCGGGGATCTCCGGTTTTTCCTTCTGCATTTCCACAAAAGCAGGGTCATCTTCGTTCAGGCTTGTCAATTCCTCCGTCTTCAGGGAGGTGATCCGTTTGGAGTGGCCTATATACCCACCGTCGGGAGGCCTCTGCCCAGCCTCTGAACTTAAGGGATTTACATCAGCAAAGGCTCGGAAGCTGGATCGGGCAAGCTCCGCAGCTCTGATTGGCATGGTAACAAGGGCTTCAGCAGCTAGTGAGTGTAGCCTCAAAGACTCCGAATTGGTTCTCCTCCGGGCAGGTGGGGCATTTTCATCGGCCGCTTTAGCTCGGCCGGGATTCAGGTTATCTTCTGCCTTTTCTGTGCTGCTCCACCCAATTATAACTTCTTCGATTTCCACAGAATTCTTATCCATGTGATAAATGTCACCTGACACATCACGTCCAGCCGGAGCGTGTTCAGAGGTGGTATCCACTGAGTAATGCAAGACATTACTCATTACTTCATTCTGCAAGACAGGCTCTCCAGCACTGGGCAGACGCTCCACGATGACATTAACATGGCCTTTTTTGTTTGGGCTGCAGTTAATGATTTTCTGGGCTGACGAAAGCAAGCTATCGGCCACCAAATTATCTGGCTCAAGATCTTCACTGGACCTTGTCTCCTCTAGTAATTTACCTGTCGGCGAAAGTGCAGCTGGCTGACTTAGGACTGACTCTTCTTTTACAGGTTCTTCTGCTGGAGAAGTTTTGAAAGCCACGGAATCGGGACTACAAATGCGAAGTTGAATGGCCTGGTTGCTGCAGAGTCCCTGTTTGTTATTTTCTAGGGAAAGGAGGACAGTATCCAACGCGGCAGAATCTGACAATGTAGCTTGCTCTTTTTCTTCCTCAAATATGGGATAAGAGCAATTCATTTCGCCTGCGTGCTTCCAAGCATGCGTTTTCAACATTCTTTGTTGTCCACAAGTGTAACTACAAATCAAGCACCGGTACATGCCGTATTCCTCGTAAGTATACCATTTTCGCCTCCCCTTCTCAGTCACTTGGGGAGGCTGTATCCCTTGATCGGTGCCAATTCTGACAACACTTTCTACTGGCCCAGGCAAAGTGGTACTCGAAAGGGCGATACAATGCTGCTCCTTCAAGAGGGCATGCATTTTGTTGCCATTCTCTGGGTGACATCTAACGTGACTTTCAAAATCTTCTAGGCTCCTGGTGGTGAAATTGCATACTGAACACATAAGTATGACCTCATTCTGCTGACCGTGTTGCTTGATGTGCTCCTTTAAGAGAGGAAGAGTGGGCGACAGAGATTTGCAGAGACTACACTCGTAGCAAACAACCTTCCTTTTACTTTGCGGAGGATCGTCCATCGCGTAATAGTCTTCTATATTTATTGTGCCTAGAGCAGGCAATTCCAGGGTTTTAGATGGGACCTCTGGGAGGTTTGGAGTGTCAAATGAGAGCACCGACATGTCAGGATGCAAGCGTTTTTTCCCTATTAAAACACATTTCTGTGACTTTTCACTTTCAACAATCTTGCTGAGCTTTTGAATGACCTGGATGAGAGGGTCAGATTTACACTTCAGCTGGTCATCGACACTTTCTGAGGTTGGGCTTACGATGGCTTCAGAAATCAGAACAGCTTCCTGTTCCCTCAGATTTGAGATTAGTGCAATGATGTTGCTGCCTTCTTCCATAATACCTAAAATGGCAACAAATAAATAAATAAATAAATAAATAAATAAATACATGCATGCATGCATGCATGCATGCATGCATGCGTGGGTTACAGACTGAAACTTTCAGCTTGTAAAGCCCAGAGACAGAAAAAGAACCACCAAAAGAGTTTTATAATTGGGCTGTAAGTATGTCCTTTTAATTTCACCGGCTATGATAGTATATGAGATGGTCTCTTTCATCATCGGTAAGTTGAAGTATGCACAATCAACTACATGAATAGGATGCTTCTTTAATTAAAAAAAAATGATATCTCACAGGATGCCCTTACCAGGTTCTTGCCAGTCCAACAGATGGTTTAGAAGGGAAAGGGCTTGGACACAATCTTTCTTCTTGCCAGCTACAACACTCTTCTCAGCTGCCTTTGTGCTCTGTTATTACAGGTGATTAAAGATATCCCCGTGTGCCAGTACACAGCTTCCTTCATCAGAACAACTGTCAGTTGATCCCTTGCATGTTCCTTTTGAATTCTCTCCTCATGCTAACTGAAAACGTTCATGGCAGTAAACTGGGACAAAAATATAGTTGATTAAATATTTCTTTAGAGTAGAAGGAAACCCATCCTTTCTACAACATCATGCAACCTTACTATATTTTTTTAGAAATAAATGTTACCTACTGAAGACCAAGGAATATACAAAGCCAATTATTATTATTATTAACTTTCAAATCAGTCTTGATTCTTAGCAATGGCCTGGATGAGTCCCTGAATTTTTGTTGGCAACATTTTCAGAGGTGGCTTCGACAGTCAGTACCTCCCTAGGGCTGAGAGTGATTGGCCCAAGGTCATCCAGCTGGCTTTGTGTCTAAGTTGGGACTAGAACTGTATCCTGGTTTCTGGTGCCTTTAACCACTATATCAAACTGGTTCACAAAGCCATATATGACTTAGGGCAAATTACCTACTGGACTTTCTATGACAGAAAGCACTGCACACCAAATCAAGCATCTTGAACTAGTTTGGAAAGCAATTAATAAGCAGCACTTTAAACACAGGCAATATCATTATCCATACCACCATGCTTGGCCAGCTGCAATTTATTCAGCTTAGAGAGGTAGTGTAATACACTGGTTAATATGTTGGACTAGGAGCAGGGAAACCTAGGTTCTAGTCCACTTTTAGCCAAACAGTCACTAGATGACTTTGGGCAGTCACTTTCTCTCAGCCCAACCTACCTCACAGGGTTGTTATTTGGAAAAATAGGTAGAGGGAATACTGTGTATATTGCCTTGAGCTCCTGAATGCAAGGCAGGATATAAATCAAATAAATAACATTGTTTAATCTAGTGAAAGATTCTAATAATATTGCACTCAAAGAGCTTAGATGGATTGGAATTTGGTAGTGATGATTTCCTGTGTCAAGAAAGAAAAGAAAAGAGTAGTTTTGACAACAGAGTGCAGAATCCTAGGTTTCAATTCTTCCATTAGCATTTTATAGCCTCACTGAGATACGTAAATCTAACTAGGAATATTCATATTAGCCTTTTATATGTGACAATTCAACTGAGGCTAATGGAGGGATAATTTTCACTGTTAAATTTCACAGGAAATGGAATTATAATAAAGATTTTAAAAGTAGTGCTTCCCTTTCAAGGCAGAGGTGGACAAGGAAGGCTGACTACAGGATGTATGCAAAATGTATGAGGAGCTGAAGCCAACTTTTATGAGACTACAAAAAACCTGAAGTCTTGAAGGACAGGTGCATTTGCCTGCTATAGCAAGCAAAGGAATGAGGGGAAAAAAACCTAGCATAATTTTCACGACTGACTGAGGCAGAAGCTACCACAGGCTAGACCAGTCCAGCCCCTGCAACATCCTGGCACCTCCAGATAGGTTTGGACTACAAATCTAAACATTCCCAGCGAAGCAATCCTATTGGCTGGAATACTAGGAACTGTAGTCTCAGACATCTGGAGGCATGTCAGGTTGGGTAAATCGGTCAAAAACCCTTTCAATCTACCCAGTATGGAAAATACTATACTACACACCCACTTATTGTGAAGGGGAGAAAATCTGTGATGAATAATGAAGGGGGAAACCCATGAAATGACTTGACTGTTCAGAGCCCTCTCACCCATGTTCCGTCAGTTTCCACAATGCGCTTACCCGCACGAGTGAATTAACCCCTTTTCTGGGTTTCTGCCACGCGGCGAGCCTTAAACCCGCGGGCTGGGTCCACACCAAGGGCCAAGCCGCGGGAAAACACGTCACGCTTAGCGGATGGCGTAAAAGCAGCCCCGGGGCTCACAGCCATTCTGGAGAAGCGCCTCGTGTGAACGGAGCGGGGGGGAGAGGGTCACCTTCTGCCCGGCAAAAGGGGCTCCGAAGAGGCCCCAAACCGCCGATCCCTCACACAGCGGAAGCCCCTCGCCCTCTGCGTCCCTCCGGCTGAGCCGCGGGAGAGGAGAGGGGAGGGGAGGGGAGGGGAGG